TTAGGGAGGGAGGGTTGGGGTTGCAGTCCATCAAGGAAACAAATGTTACTTTGTTAAAGTAAATGGCTGTGGTGGATGGAATAGTTCATGGAGGGAAATGGTTTCCATCATAATATGATTTTCTTGATAGAAGGTGGATGACTACATAGCCGAGTGAGCCTGCACTATGAAAGTTTGCTTTGGGACATGTTTGAACTGGATGCAGTTTTTTAAGCATATTGGTTTCAACATGAGGATGGGTTGCATGACAGATGTTGTGACAATGAGACTTTGAGGTCTCTAGTTCCAGATTTATTTTTCTGGTTAGACACAAAGAAGTCTTGGTTTTAGATTGACTCATTGAGACATGTCTTTCTGCAGGAAGTTCCATTTATAAGGAATTCTAATGACTGGAGATGCAGGATTTGATAGTGTTATTTTAGAAACTATATTGTTCCAACCTGGTTCAGGTCAATAGGATTGGTGATGCATTAACAGGAAGATTTTGAAGTGAATATATTTCATTAATAAGATATATTTATTCAATTGTAATATTGTATTATTAAAATACTTTTAGTTTATTTAGAAACTTTTTTTTTTTGTTTTGAAATAATAAGCATAAAACGTATCGTTAAGTACAGACATCAAGGGAATGCAAACTCATGTATAAAATTATTTATAAGTCAGCCAGGAGATATCAATTAGTTCTCATAAATTCTCCATGGATTACAACAGCTGACTCATAACCAAAAATTTAGGGTCTGCAACCATCTCTCTCAAATCTTATCAATAACCTTCTTCCACCCCCTTAAAAACTCCCTATTTCTTTCTTCCACACTACCCAAAAGTTTGCGAGGAGGATAAGCCAAAAATGTTTTTTCTGCTATGCTAATCCTTTCCAAGCTCATAATTCATCCCTTACTCCAAGTGAAACCAAAATTCCCATATGCCGTGGACCACAAGCTACGCGCAATGGAACTCTAAAGTAGAATATGGTTGCAGGTCTCCTCTGCCCCCTTTTGCATAAGCAGCATCAAATGTACTATAATTTTTCCTTTCCTTTTCAGCTTACCGATAGTCAAATTACACCCATAGTCTTTCCAAGCGAAGAAAGCTACCCTGGAAGGGGTCTACTCTTTCCATATTTGTTTGTATGGAAAATTGTTCTCAATGGGCTCTTTCTTTAGTCAAGTATCTGTAGAAGGACCCAACAAGGAATTTCCCAGTAGTGCTGAGTGTCCAAATCGGTTGATCATAATCCTTGTCCACAAAATCAACTCCATTATACTCAAAATTACTTCATATTCATTGATTTCCCAATCATTGAGGTTCTGCAAGACCTCCTCATGCCTTTGCCTGCTTCTTTCACATCTCCAAATGTCTTTTCAACAGAAATGTCTTTATATCGAGGTATAGCATAAACCTGTAAATTGGGTACATAAACCTTGATTACAGGATATGGACCCTTGACTCATCGGGTACATAATCCTGTAAATCATTTTTCAATTGTATAACAAAAAATCTGATTGTTGCCAAAGTACCTTTACCAAAGCATTCTAGAAAGTCAAGGTCCTTTCGAAGATGAACATCTTTGTGTGGAGTGCAATTCTAGATCGGCTTAACACTAAGGAGTTGCTGCAAATATGTAGGCCTGGCCGATTTTTGTCTCCAAACATGTGTATTATTTGTCATAAGGGCAGGAAAACACATTTTTATTGTCTTTTTACATTGTGAAGTGGCATGGAAATTATGGCCTAGGCTTTTTGACACTTTTAACCTAGTATTGTTTACTCCTTTGGATTGTTTCATCAACACAAATTTGGGTGGCTTCGTGTTAAGGTTAAGGCTAGACCATTGTGGTAGGGAGTTTTTTTGGTGGTCTTTGGACCATTTGGATTGAAAGAAATCTATGGATATTCGGAAACCGTTCTTTGTAGGACAACCTCATATGGGAGAACGCTCATGGGAAATACTGTCATCTCTTTCACCGTCCTATGTAGGAGTTGGGATGCTGTAGTCATGTGATTTATTCTCTATTTGGTGCTTTCTTTTTCTATATTCTTATTTCCTTTTATTTCAGCTGGATATCTTATCCACTATCCTTTTTGTAGTGTTTCCTTCCTTATCTTAATGTAATTTCTTTTTCTATCCAAGAAAAAAGAAAATATGAGGGTTTTTGAGGGTTATCTTTTTTACGTCAGCAGGCTTAGGGATAATTGGTTTTGCACTCCTAATCTATTGTTTTCTGGTTGCATGATGACCTCAATGAAACTTTCTTCTATATACTTTTTTGGCTCATGGGTGGTACACTTCTTGTTGCCATGTAAAATATTACATATTTCTCTCAATAAAAAGTTCTACACTTGCAATCAGATAATTACTAAGTTCAGATTGATGAAATAGTTTCTTAGCCAAGTTTATTCCGTTTATCCTATGCCTTTCTTGTACTGCTCCAATATTATTATGGGATGATATGATGTGAATGGCAGTTTGCTTCATTGTGGATGTACAAGATTATAATTTGTTTCAAATCTTCAGGTGGAGTTTGTTGGGGGCCCTATGTGTTGGAACACCCGTACGTTTTCTGCCAGTGCTGGTAAGAAGTTCTGTGTTTTTTATTTAGCAGTATCGCTTTGGTGGCCTGATAATTTTTATTTTTTCTCTTCACAGAAAAAAACCTGTTGTCTATCAAGAGAATCTTCTTATGATTGTCTGCTTAATTTCTCTATCCATGGTTGAAAGAATTGATACTTTTTATTCTAGGTGGAGGAGCATTTTGCAATGGTCAGAGAATTCATGTGAGTCATACGGATCAGGTGAGCTTTTATTTCTTTATTTATTCTTCCGGGTGTACTGTAAAAATCTAGAATTTGTAACATTTATATGTATGTATTATTTGGATTATTTTATGTTAATTTCAGTAGATGAGTCAAAATTATTTTGTGACTAACTTGGCTTTGGCTGAAGAGATACATTATTTGCATTCTGGTAGGAAGAGTTCAAGTGCTCATTAAGTTTTTGCTGTTGTAACATTTGGCAGTATCTGCATGTCCTTTGTAACGTTTAGCTTTAATACGCTTTTCTAATGGAGAAGCCTTTCGTATTTTTGACTAAACTCTAATACATATGAAACATCAATTATCTACCTTAAATTGTAGCTGTATTGGTTCTCTTCTTTCTTACTTGTGAGGTGAAAAACATTTGCTGACGTGTATGGTATAGTGGATCGTAGCTCTCTATCGTTTTGAATTTGCAAAAATTGTCAATGTTATATAAGCTTTGCTATTTGTGTTATGTGGAGCGATCTCTTCTAGTCACAGGTTTTGGATATGAACATGATAATCCTTTGTAACGTTTAGCTTTAATACGCTTTTCTAATGAAGAAGCCTTTCGTATTTTTGACTAACTCTAATACATATGAAACATCAATTATCTACCTTAAATTGTAGCTGTATTGGTTCTCTTCTTTCTTACTTGTGAGGTGAAAAACATTTGCTGACGTGTATGGTATAGTGGATCGTAGCTCTCTATCGTTTTGAATTTGCAAAAATTGTCAATGTTATATAAGCTTTGCTATTTGTGTTAGGTGGAGCGATCTCTTCTAGTCACAGGTTTTGGATATGAACATGATAATCCTTTGTAACGTTTAGCTTTAATACGCTTTTCTAATGAAGAAGCCTTTCGTATTTTTGACTAACTCTAATACATATGAAACATCAATTATCTACCTTAAATTGTAGCTGTATTGGTTCTCTTCTTTCTTACTTGTGAGGTGAAAAACATTTGCTGACGTGTATGGTATAGTGGATCGTAGCTCTCTATCGTTTTGAATTTGCAAAAATTGTCAATGTTATATAAGCTTTGCTATTTGTGTTAGGTGGAGCGATCTCTTCTAGTCACAGGTTTTGGATATGAACATGATAATCCCTGGGCTACCAATATGGAGTTATTCAAGCACTTCACTGACGTTAGTAGGGTAAATAATCATTTGACACTGATTAATACAACTCCTATTTTACTTTCTTCTCTCTTTCTGTGTGTGTGTTGTTCTGTCTCTCTTGTTCATGTGCATGAATTGTAAATGTCTAGGGTGTCAGGAGACTTGGTGCTGCAGCAGTGGATATGTGCCATGTAGCACTGGGGATTGTAGAAGCATACTGGGAATATCGTCTAAAACCATGGGATATGGCTGCTGGCGTTTTGGTAAGACTCAAAAGCTTTTTGGTTGATATGCTTAATATAACATACTGACATATGTTTATATAACACTGTTAACTAGGATGTTTTATTATTTAATTAGTTTATTGATTAATTAGTTAAAATGATCTAATTAGAATTCTATTAAAATAAATTTCATATAATTAAAATTTTAATAAAATAAGAATTTTTTTATCAATAAATTATGAATTTTATAAATATTTTAAGTGTAACAATATAAAAAGTAAGAAATAAAATTAATGTTTTTTCTTCAAAATCAACATGATATTAGAACCAAATAAAACTATTTTAAGGTTATAATTTCATGATTTTCTTCAAATCCTAAAATAGCACAATAGGCTGGGTTGATACCCATTTATCCAGATCTACTTTTATCACCACCCTAGAAAGTCACATCTGAGAGAGAAAAAGAACTAACTCAGATCGCAGCGGTGAGTGATGGTTGGCAGAAGAGGGCGGCGACTGGCGATCTGTAAGCCGGCGACCAGATCTGTGACACCATAAAGAAAGCACACAGATCTGACGACTGTGCAGTGGCCATGGAAGATGGCAGATCGGTGCGTGACCAACGCTAAGGGCAACATATTTGTCTGGAGAAGAAGAACTACCTGCAGCGGCCATTTGCATGGAAGTCCCTGCACAAACAGATCAGTTCGTGCGATCTCCCTGAACGAACAGATTGGGTGGTAGCGGTTGATAGAGAAGAACAGTTTTTTTGGCTTTGCATGCAGTGAAAAAAAAAAACCAGATCTGTCCAGCGAAGATGTGTCGAGCCAAGCCGCTCTCCCTCTGAGTCTAGCCTAAGCCGAGCCGAGTCATCCGTGCTGGAGTCGATATGAGCCAAGCTGATCTTGAGCTGAGTTTGAACCGAGCCGAGCTGCTGCCTAACCCGAGCCGAACTGCTGCCTGAGCCGAGCCGAGCCGCTGCCTTGCCAGACATATCTGCTTCTTCCACGCGCGAGCCGGTTCGTCCAGCCTTTTCTGATAATTTTTTCAGCTCTTCTGCGCACTCCGTTTTCTGGCTCTTTTGTGCGAGTCCACCTCTAGTTTCGCTTTCTAGTGCAAATCTACTTCCTCCTCACACGAGTCTGGTCATTTTTTCAGCCCTTCCGCTTGTGTACGCCTTTGGTAGACTGCAGGATGATTTTCAGAACTTGATCTGTAAGTTAGGTATTTGTGATATCTTTACACCAACTTGTAGGAGTATTAATTAGAATATTTTATTATTTTATTATTTAATTAGTTAAGATGATGTAATAATTTTTTTTTTAAAATAGTAATATCATATAATTAGAATTCTAATATAATAAGAATTTTTTTATCAATAGGTTAGTAATTTTATAAATACACTAAATATAACAATATAAATGATGAGAAATAAAATTAATATTTTTTCATTAAAATTAACAAAATATTCTACCACACACATGTGGGCATGGATATATTTGAAACTGAGCAATTATAGCTATACAACTTATTAGAAATATTTACTTTCTAATTTAGAAGATTTGACACCAAGGTTGACCAAATATCTTTGACTCGATCTGTCATTTTGTTTTGAAAAATCCTTTCACTAAGTAGAAAGATTATTTTGTATAAATATGGTAACTAGCTTTATATTATAAATATAGTTCTTATATTGTTATCAGAAAAACAAAGAAAAATGCAGAATTTTCATTCTTCATGGTATCAGAACAGTTCTGGAAAACCAAAAACAAATTTCCTCTTTTCTTTTTCAATGGCGTCAATCATCTCTGATATTTTGTTCTCATCTATTACCAGCTGTAACGGAGGATCTGAATCTAGTGTCTTATCATTACTGGACACAAATTGAATGACCATAACTATCTCCAATGTTTGCATTTATTTATGATGTTCATTGGTGGTCGAGGAAAAGATGACTACATTATAGGTATAGTCACTAAACCAAAGTCTGATGATCTACTCTATAAGACGTGGAGAATTGAAACTATCTTAGAAATATTATGCCTTATGAATTCCATGACAAATGATGAAGAATATTTTGTTCTATATGAAACAACACAAGAAATTTGCGATGCCGGGTGAGGGACTTGCTCAAATAGGGAAGATACAACAAAGGCATTCGAGATTGAATGTATCCTTCATGACCTTCATCAAGAGGACCTCTCAGTCATCCAATACTTCAGCCATCTGACTAAGTATTGGAAGCAACTAGCTGTGATAAGACTACTCAATAGGACTGCTCAGTGGATGCAGCTGAGTATAAAGAGATCGTTGAGAAGAAATGAATTTACAAGTTTCTATTTGGACTCAACAGAAACTTTGATGAAGTTCATAGTTGAATCCTAGAAACTAAACCTTTACTTAATCTTCAAGAGACAGCATTGAAGTCGAAGAAAGCTGGAAAAAGATAAAGATGGGGCCTCGGAACCAGTCCATCAACAACAACAATGCTTTTACCCTTGCATCGTGAAGAACAGGACAAACACAACAAGAAGGAAAGATCGTAGCGTGAGCACTGCAACAAGCCTGGATACATCCATGATACTTGCTGGAATATTCATGGAAAACCCCATGATTAAAATCCAAAAAGCAAGAGGGAGGACGTGCAAATCATAGTACAGTTTAAGAGCAACCAAACCAATTTAGCAAGTAGCAGTTGCAAATCATTCAAAAGCAAATTGCTGATGCACAAAAAGTTTTTACTCCAAATTCTAATCCCTTGGCAACAGCAAATGTTGCACATAAAGGTGTTTTTTTTTCTTTTTCGGCAGTCCTCAAAACTTATAAGGTGGAAAAGAATTCACAGATAGCAATTCTAGAGTCGCTAATCATATGACTGGTGATGTATCTCTTATCTGGAATCTCATTTCTTGTCTTGAAAACTTTACTGTCAAGATAGCTAGTGAATCAGTCTCAAAAGTGACGGTAGAGGATATATTATTCTCTTTAAAAACCTACCCTTATTCAGTTTAATTGGTTCTAAATCTGGATTGGAATCTTTTGTCAATTAGTCAACTTACAAGGGAAAGAAATTGTGTTGTTATATTTATCTCTAAATAATATATTTTTCAGGATTTAACTATGGGATGGATAATTAGTAGTATTGACTTGTATTTGGGACTTTACATGTCCAGCGTACCCAAACATCATTAGAATTTTTCAGCCAAAGAAAGACAATCTTTTTCTACTATCAGAATACGTATAGTGAAATAATGTTATATCACGA